ACTGAACCAGATCTCACTGGGCAATCCCCTTTCCTTGTCCCCAGTAACATTTATTTTCAGGCTGCCAATATCAGCTTTATCTCTGGGGTTCCACTGAATGAGTCTAAGATACAACTGACCTGGAACATGGGTGAAGGTTAATGCCAAGGAAACTGAGTTTCAGGAAGTTGTTCAGCCACAAGGATGAGGCAATGCCTGTCAGCCCCTCTGGCTGGTGTCAGGCGAGTGTTGGTACCTATGCAGGGTCTTTCATGTGAGCAATTCTGGTAGTTACAAGTCTTCCACAGGACGTTTTGCCTGGTGGGTGGCATAATCCTTTTATTTGGATAACTACCCATTTTCTCATAAACTGGGTTGTGCATAAGAGCTGTGTGAAAAGGAGAACAAAATTTGAATACACGTCTCATTAGGTTTAAAGGGTTTGGACCCTGTTTTATAGCTTACCAGAGAGCAACAAATCTAGTTCTATTCAGGGGATTTAATTCACATCTCATTAACTACCTTGGCAAAATCCAACATTAGCCCTGAAAGGCTAATTTGATTAAAGAACTGACAGACATTACTTCTCTTTGACTAATCAAGTTAATTTTAATGGAGGTAATAATGTCTCCCTGGCAGGTTATTGTGAGAATCAAATAAGCTAGCTAGCATATTCTGGGTGTTTTGTAAATTAAGAGGTGTTAAACAAACATAGGTGATTATTGCTGATCTCTTTATTCCTCTTACACCGTCCAGAGCCACCTCTTGTTTCTTTCCCTTTCTTTTCCTCTGTCTTCCTAAAAAATCTTACCTAATTATTTAGCTGAGGGAAATGTTTTAAGCCTTATTCATGTTTTCAACTAATAAATTGACTTAATAAATATATTCAGAAACCTACCATGGGCCAGTCATGGAGTTGTTACACAAGTAGACAAGATCAAAAATTTAAAACCACCACTATGTACTCACTCTGAATTGCATGTGGTGCGTACCTGTAGTCCCAGCTACTAAGGAGGCCAAGGCAGGGAGATCACTTGTGACAGGAGTTCAAGACCAGCCTAGGCAATACAGTAAGAACTTTGTCTCAGGTGAAAAAAAAAAAAATGTCTGGCTGAGAACCAGTAAGACAACTCTTAAACTCTTAACCCACATTGAGTGCACCCAAGGGTTCCAGGGAGCCGGAGATTAAAGAAGCAATCACAGAGACAATTTGGAGAGAGTTGCTGAGCACTCCAGCCCCAATAAAATAAAATGGGACATGCCACCTCCTATTCCCAAATCAAAACAGACGGGCTGCCAAGGGAACATCAATGTTTTATAAGTGAGCTTCCCGAGCTGTCAGATTTCCTCCCAAAAACTTCAAAGGGTAAGAGATGGAATGCCTAGCTGCTAAGGAATGAGCCCAAAATACAAAATGGCTACATTGGGCGCCTGGGATTGCATATTTTGTCCGCAGAAATAGGGTGTTTCCTACAAACTGTGGGGCATGCTATAAAAGAGCCAAGACAGAGTGCCTAAGGTACCTTCCAAGAGGACCATTGAAAGTGGAACCTCATTAAGGGTGATAATAACCACAAATCAAGCATATTTAGCTCCCACGATCAAATATGATTTATAGTTGATTATGACTTTGAGGGAAGGAATTGTCTTATCAATTAGTTCTCTGGATTGATGTGGGCATCACTCCCATGAAAGTTCATGTGTGATCCACAAAGGGTGTCTTTGGATGACTTTACATAGACATGTCTAACTTTATAGAGGCAGAAGACTTCCAATATATGCCACAGAGATGTGCACTCAGATCACATTTATTGGTATTTATGCTTAAACACAGTTTGATATTGAGTATGTCTCCAGTGGGGAAGGCAATGTGAAGACTGAAAAATAAGAGGACAGAAACAACTGACAACTAATTCTGTCCCAATATTATAGCACAGCATCTTAAAACAAATCTGTCAGCTCTTTTGCAACCAGATGTATTATCAATTATATCTTATAGAATGACAGTGGAAAACAGTATATTTTTCCCATTTTAAAAATGGAGAATCTAAAAATAAGCTTAAGAAACTCAAGATCACACTCTGTGAGAAGAGGGAGAAGGTTTGATTGAATTGATTAAATCTCTGCTTATACTTCCATTGGAATAACATTTCAAACTTGTGCCGGATATACTTAGATTGGAAGAGAAAGAAAACCTCCACCAACAAACCTTCCTACCCACTGGTAACACTCATAAATGCTCTTATATTTGTTCTCTGAGCCCAGGTACAAACAGTTTTGCTTATATTCTACCTAACTTCTGTAGGATGCCAGGTCCCTCTTAGAACTTGATAACTACAAAAACTGTATGAGTTCACACTGTCATTGCAGGTGACAAAGACCCAGCTGAAGACAAAAGGGAGATTTGTGGGCTCATGTACAGGCATGGCTGGAGGGAAGCTGGCCTTAGGCACGTCCAGAACCAGGAACCCAAGTACCACTGGGATGCTTCCTCCCTACAGTTCTGTGTGTTTGTGTGTCAGCTTCTTTTTCTCCGGCTGAAGCTCAACTGGTTGTGCATGCTGTGTGTGTGTGTGTGTGTGTGTGTGTGTGTGTGTACGTAGTGGGGAGATGAGGGGTTGGTGCCAAATTTATATTCTTATGGCTTCATGGCCATGGAGGTATCAGAAAATTGACCTCTCCCCCATCTCCAGTTTTTAAATGTGGGAGAAATATCCTGACTGGAACACAGAGTGGAACCTGGGTAGTTAGACCCAGAGGTCATATGCCCACACCTGGGTATAACCACTGTGGACAGAGGAGAGCCATATCCTGGGTACATGCCCACCCGGGCAACACAGATGCTGGGCAGACTAGCACTGGAGCCACTTCAAAATGCAAACAAACTCAACACATCACTGGGAAACTAATTAATGTGTGTGCATCATAAAGGAGATTGTTAGACAAAAGCAAACAAATATTAACCCATGAAGCCTTGGATAATCAATTTTTATAAACATATGATTAGTTCTGACAAGGAGCACAACATAGAATTCATTTGAGTACTGTTTCATTTATTCTTTCTAGAAAGACAATATCTTTTCTTTGGTAAGATAAAGATAAAAGCAACAACTCAATTAGCAGCAGTAAACTGTTGGCAACTCTAATAATTTCTGTTGCATCATTCCCATGTTTAGCCAAGCCATTCCTAAGTGAAAAAAAAATAAAGGACAAACATATTGATCTATATTGATTTAGACTATTTATTGTATTTCTTAACATTCATGGCACTCTTTAATCAAGAATATAAAGTTATCTACTTAGGTTTTGCCACTCAAGGTTTAGAACATTCTTAGAATCATATTGTCTTGAAGAAACAGACTGGAATGACAAGCAAGTTTGAAGATAGAGCAATTATCAATGTAATTTTTTTCAAAATCATAACCCTAATATAGACATAGATTATACTTGTGGACCTGGTACATTCTAAGAAGGATCCTGTTTACCAGTACTAGGAAAGTATGCTTCCAACCGTGCAGCCAGCCAGAAAGACTATTTTACATATGAGTGTGTTTCTCAGAAAAAGCCTCTTTCCTCCCTCTAATGTTATAATACATGACACAATTGTAGCTGTATTTGAAGAGGAATGAGTTTCAAAGACCACCATCATAATGCATGAATTCCTACCCTTAGTGCCAGAGAAATGATATATTGCACTGTACTGTGCTTACCTCTGTCCAGAGGCCAGCTGTCTGGCTTGTTTTCAGGGTGCCTGGAATTTTTTGCCATTTGATACCCAGGGTGCTTCTGAAGCAGTCTCCCTGGGCAACTGTCTCGTATTGAGGATACCTCTAGGGAAAAGTTTCTTACAAACCTAATCCACCATGTTTATTTCCCAACACCAAAAGTTCACTGACTCTTCAAATCTTGGACTTGCCCATCATTATTTCCCCTATTTAGATAAGGCTGAATTAAAAGTACTTTTTTTTTTTTTTTAAAGAAGTAGCCTTGGCAGAAGAAAAGCCACTATTCTATAGAAAAAGTCATTCAATATTTAAAATCTATTCTGAGCAGAAATGAGAGGCTGAAAAGAAAGTATCTGTTATTTGATTTCATTTTTTAACTCTGCTGTCATTGTGACTGAAGATTCATGATAAATTACCCCACAGACCTTGGCTTAAGAGGAGGTACTGTACAAGTAGCTGACTAGGCCTCAGTAACACAGAGAAATAATCTTAAGGACCCTTGTGGATACAAAGGAATACTGCATTGTTTTAAAATGAGAAAACTGAGTAGATCAGTTAGGTTTCTAGCCCTCTTCCTAGAATAAGCCTTAGTCTTTGGCAAAGCACAGATGGATAGTTGGTTTTTTATAAAGGCAACTTCTTGGTGGGACGTCAGCACCAACAGATCCTATACTCTTTGGTCTCTCCCAAGAACTCGTTACTTGTCCCCCAGAGACATCCCTGCTCGCATTCTTGGGCATCTGTTTAGTTACAAGAAGTACAGGAGCAAGGGGGATGGGTCCCTGGAGCAGATATAATCACAAAATCAGAAACTCCAAATGGAAAGTCAGAAGAGCCTGAAGGAAAAACAATCATTATGACAGCATTTCTCGTAATCACAAATCCACATATATATTACCTTTCTTTCAGGACTAGTAAGTCATAATTTAGCTATAGGTGAAAGTATATCAGTGAAACTCTTTCTAGGGCCCATCTTGGTGAAAACTGTATATAATTTAGCATACATATCATATTAGGCAAAGATACATCTAATGTGAGCACCAGCTGTAAAGATAACCTTTTTAGCACTTAAAAAACAAGTAAAATAATCATAAATGCTTTCCTTTTGTTTTTCACTAAACTGTCATAGCACACCTGAGAGAACAAAGTCTATATGGCTGCATAAAGCCTGAAATACAAGAAGAAAACTAGTCAAATACTGCTTGTTAAATATACAATTATGATTCCCAATGTCATTTCCCATGTGTTTAAATCCTATGTGTTTAAAATGAAAAACACGCAGCCTGGGACAAACGTCCGCATTTCAATTTGTGATCTGCTTCATTGGCATGAGTTTTGGTGAAACCTGGTAAAAGAAAGAGGAAAAAAAATAATCAAATTATGAGAAACCACATGGCATAAATGTCTCTCCTTTGAATTTCCAAACTTGAAAGATGTAGGCCACAAGCAGCCTTGCCATGGACATTGCCTGGAGTTTCCGTATTAGTTTCCACTCTGAAACACCAAGAGAGAGAACTCTTGTTTACATTTTGGGTATTTCATGGTTCTCAACCTTCTTGTATTATAGCTCCTAAGTTAAGGATAACTGGGTCTAGCAACAAGAAGGGGGTGAAAGAGGGACAGAGGGAGCCTAATAAAGAATCCCAATAACCGAGTCTCCCTGTTGAATGGATCACTGATCTCCGAGACGGATGCCTCTGAGACTTCACTCAAGACATAGTACAAAGCACAAGTCTCCAATTCCTCTACATAGATCCAGCAAATCCACAATTTTCTTGAGACACACTTTATGTAGTCTTTGGATTACCTAGATACATATTAATGGAGAGATGTATGATCAATGATAAATCTTATCAGAAATGTCATAATCAGAATAGAAGTGATACAAAGGCAATAAAAGGATTCAAAGTTATTACAAAAACAAGGTAACGGCATTAAAATTGTTAAATGCTGATTATAATTATATTCAGCGTACAGAATACCAAATGCTTTCCTGGGAGTCTTGAAGCAGAGAAAAATCAGAATCAGTCTACATTTAAGGAAGAGCTGGTGGAAGGAGAAACCTAAATACAAGTGAAAATTGTGACAGATTTTTCAAAGTATGGTATTAGCTTCAGATTTTTAAATTCAATATAGCAAATATCCATTGGAACCTAGTTAGTAACAGTACCCATGGAAAGCACAGCAGGGAATACCAAAATTTAGGTGATTTTTTAAATCCCTCAAGGATGTGGCAATCAAAATGGGCCTAATTAGCATTTCATCTTCCAGGGTAAATAATTAATATTTTGTTAATGAATGAACAAATGAATAAGTGGACTATTAGATAATCTTCCAAGAACTAGAAAAAAGGCTCCTAAGAGAGGTTATGTCAGAATTAAAAATTAAAAGAGCAGGCAATTATTTGGCTTCGATGAGGTTAAATATTTTTAGTTCATTCTGTATTAACTCTACACAATTAACTGTTCACAATGTCAAGAGTTAATGCCTGTTATTGCATTTTTCTGCTAAAAGAATAAATAAGAATAAACAAGAATAAATAAGTTCGGTATGGTTTGGTGGTGTATAGCTTAGGATAAATGAGAGTTCATTCAGACTTGTCATTTCCAAGAGCAGACGTATAATAATAGACAAAATAATGAACAGACAATAATAATAAATAGACAAAAGTAACAACCCACATATGCATAGACCTTCAACTCTACTAAGAATAAAAAACATACGGGCGCTTAGTATTTAGATAAGTATGTCTCACAAACAATTCATTTTATCTTTTTTTAACAACACAGCATCTGTGAAAATAATTTAATGAAACTCTTTTTTTGAGTACAGATTATTTTTAATAGAAGCTTCATAACATTTCCTTTAAAAGGAAACTGGACACCTTAATTTTTAACACTAAACATCTGATCCTTTTCCTTGTCATGTCAGCCCTATTTTGAGCTCTTAATACCATTTATATCCTCAGTGTGGAAATAACTTTTATCAGAAAAACAGAAGATGAAGCTTTATGTAGACTGACTTGGTCTGCCTACTTTGTAATGAAAAACATCCACTAAACCACCGCTTCTCATTCTGTTCTCCCATAGTCTCATCAACACTGTAAACCCATGGAAGCCAGAGCAGATTATCCTGCCAACATGATCTACAGGCTAAGCACAAGATGATATGATATAAGTGTAGAAGATAAAACCAACAATTTGTCTTCCCACCTCATTGATATCCCAAGAGTATACTGTTTAATTCTAGCATAATACCACTTCATAATAGATATTTGAGTATATATTCGTGCAATTTGCCAAGGAATGTCTATAGCTGGCTTCTTTCAGATTCCATTGCAAATGTACAAATAAACAGTGTTCTTATTTAATCTTTTACCACTGGTGGTTTAGGCATATTACTACCTGGAGAATAAGACCAAGGCCCTTGGGAATAAGAACTATACCAATTAGTTCTATTTTATTCATATTTTACAGCTCAATATAGGACATACACTTGGTGTTTAATAAATAATCATAGATGACTAATGACCTAGAGAAGTTTATTTTACCACATGATGTTCAAATATGGATTAAATTCTTTTTACACTTGGTGTTTAATAAATAATCATAGATGACTAATGACCTAGAGAAGTTTATTTTACCACATGATGTTCAAATATGGTTTAAATTCTTTTTTCATTTTTATTTATTTATTTTTTTTTTGCGACAGAGTCTCGCTTTGTTGCCCAGGCTAGAGTGAGTGCTGTGGTGTCAGCCTAGCTTAAAGCAACCTCAAACTCCTGGGCTCAAGCGATCTTCCTGCCTCAGCCTCCCGAGTACCTAGGACTACAGGC